TACTACTACTACTACTACTACTACTACTACTACTACTACCACTACTACTACTACTACTACTACTACTACCACCACTACTACTATTACTACTACTACTACTACTACTACTACTACTACTACAATTACTACTGGTACTATCACTACAATTATTTCCAGTAGTATTACAAATACTCTCGATGTATATAAAAAATAAAAATTTTAATTTAATTTAATTACTGTTTGTTTACACAGTCAACGCTTTGTCAGATCTATTTTAAGAAAAGTTTGCGAATATGGATAGTAAAGAAAATTGAAATCGAGTACAAAATCTGTTGGCTAGGGATTTTACAAAGTCACAGTAGCGCAGTTCTTGTCTTGTGCAGTTCTTTTGAAACAGTTTTTTTGTAAGTCTGTATCTCCACTACTTTTTCAACATTTCGGATCACCACACCTTTTTTATATACCTTAACCATCGGAACTCCTCGATCCCTAAAATTAAAGAAATCAGTGTTTTAACGAGCATCGTGCTTTCTTCTTTCTTCTTCCATTTTTATATAACCGTTAATATCATCTATATCTAATTTAACTCAATGTTTAATCATTTTAAACATATTTGGTTCGTTGTAAATAAAATACGCATACAAGTGTACAAAAAGAAGAAATTTATTTATATGTATAATAAATACATGTTGCGTATTCAAACGTTTCACATTCGTTATAGTTATCGTTATCGTTATCGGACACCGCACGAAAAGACTACCGCAACGCGCGCTGATCTCAATATACATACAATATAAAATATACAATATACAGACGTACACACATTTATGTACCTATATATCTGTATGTATACGCGATGATAATAATAATACTAGTATTAATAATAATGATAATATCACAGCATAAAAATTACATGTAAATTATATCGCGATATAAGCGAGAATACAATTAAAACCCGTATGACATATGACTATGATAATTCTATATTCTGTATACATGATACATGTGTGCGTGTACACTTGTGTAACAAGAAAAAACGGTAATACTGCAGAGTAGACTATATGTATGTATAGACTGTAGAATCGTGAAGTAAATTTTAAACCTCCGATTCGAAATAATAACATGTTTCTACTTAAACATTTATCGATGCATTATCGATAGAGCGAAACGAGAGATATTGAAATCCAGGTGTAAATTACATCGACTCGTGTATGTAATTATATCCATTATAGGCATTAGAATCGAATGCTAATAATATTCAAGTATAGGAACAGTGGCAATGAAAATACAGAAACAAAGTAAGAGATACGAAACGACTAAAGTGCGCGTCGAGGAAGAGATTCGTAATGTTCTTAGAACTTGAGCAAATAGTTCCACCAATTGTTGCATTCTGTTATCGGTGATTTCATTGATCGCGACGTTCGATGGTTCTCGCGTTCGATTCTTCATGGTACTCGAAGAAACAGTATTCGAGTCGTTTCGTTCTACTTGTTGTTGGCCGTTCTTTTCCGTTCGCCAATTACCACAATACGGAAAGTTAGGCGGTACCGGGGGCATATCTTCGTCATTTCCAACTTTAAAAACCAACGACATTCCGACCTCGGCGTGAAATTCGATATGACAGTGGAACAACCAATAACCTGATCGAAACCAACAGAACGATCAGAACAAACAGGAAAATATTATAATTCTAATAGATTTTTTAAATATGTATCGCGCAGGAAGAGGAATGATATTGTAGAGAGTAGAAAATGGACACACGTACCTGGATTATTGGCATAAAATCGTATAATAGTGTAACCACCGTCTGGTACGGTGACGGTATCTTTTAAAGGAGCACGATCGAGGTTTCTGCGTATCAAACCTTGTTCATCCAATTTCTTGACAACCTCGGCCGTGACATTTCTACCAATCCTTTCCATCGCGATCACGCGAAACTGATATCCGTGCAGATGAAACGGGTGATTCGCATCGTAAGCAAAACCTTCGTCTACTAAAATCACCTCCACCACGGTTCCGAGTTTGACCCGAAGAACGTGGGTACAGGCACAATAGTACTTTTTGCATCCTTGAACGGTACTCTCGTTACAGAATTGATTCTGGTCTATGATATCCCGCTGAGGCAGTAGAGGAACGGATGGCAGCTTCATCGAGATGTGATTCAATTGTGGAGTGAGAACTCGCTTGGTTTCTTCAACTAGAAAACAAGTTGTTTACGATACTATATGCTATACTACATATGTATGTACATATACAGTGGTCCACAAAAGTGTTCGTACACCGTTTAAAACGCAATAACTTTTTCAAAACTGAGCTGTACGCGTTGAATTTAGTTTTAGACGATAGAGGGACCAGTCTACTAAACGATGGCTAAAAAGCTTTTGTTTTAATTTTGCTATTACTTGGAATGAAAAGAAAACAGAACGAGAAGAACCTCGTTTTTTAAACCTTTTTATCCGAGCCTATAACGAAAATGAAAAAAATACGTGCTGAAAATTTGATTTTGTTGACATTCCAAGTAATAGCAAAATTAAAAAGAAAAAGCATTTTAGTCATCGTGTAGTAGGCTTGTCCCTCTATCGTCTAAAAAAAATTCAAGTCACTTCAAGTCACGCATCACTAAATGTTGCTAAAGAGGTACGTTTTGTACGTTGTACGTTGTACGCGTGTGTATGTACCTTGATCGAAGCCATACAAGCCGCTACGATGGAAATGTGGATTGTCTTTCTTGTAAAAATCATAAGTGATGTAAAATTGATAATCCGGCTCGAGAATATTCGATGGATCGTTTTCATCCTTCGCTCTCAGCAGTGGCACACTGATGCTACTACTATTCCTTTCTGTGCCCTCGTTCAAACCGTTTATTCTCTGCAAAAAGGATGCGCGTGTGACGCGTTATGCTCTAAAACGATTTCGATTTCGATTTCGATTTCAATTTCGAAAGCCGCACTCAGAAATCTCATACCTTGTCCAGCCGATCGTTCGGTTCGCGTTCGTAAGCAACTTTACCTTTAGGATCTTGTTCGATCGCGCGATCGTATCGTAATATGCCAACTTGAAAAGCTTTCGTGAATCTTTCATCGCAATCCATTAATCCTCGAACTCGAATCCAATAATTGTCTATACTCTGGTTCGCATCGATGACAAAGTCGAATCTTTCGCCTGCATAGCTTACCAAACTTTTTCCTGGAAGAAATGTTCTTGTTTTCAAACGCGATTCGTGTCACGTTTCTTTTCTATAATATTACATATGTACAATGTATGCGGATTTCCGTACCCTGGACCGGTTCGATGTCGCGACCGTCCGAACTGATCACGGTCATTATGTGATCATCGATGGACAACTCGATCGGACAATTGAGAAACTCTGCGTTGATCAGTCGAAATCTATACCTAGTATTCTGCAAAACAAATTGTACTACGTAATACGGACGAAATCACGATGCAAGTTTCTCCGCAGTGTTTAGCTTGCTTTACCTGCTTGACGACAAACGTTGCCAAAGGCATTGCAGCGGAAGCGTTGTTTTTATCGTTCGAACCAGTCGTGAAACGACCCAGCCCATTGATCAGTATATTTGGCGGTTTGTTGTCTCCGCCGGCATAGTGATGACTTAAAAATTTATCGATTCCTAATTCATGGGTCCAATCCAAGATCAATAGGACGTGTTCGTCGACGTCGTACAGATTCTTATGCCAGTTTATTATCGCAGGCGTACGAACGATCAATGGACCAAACACGCCATCGCCTCGTTGGAAACCTAAAAGAGCAAGAGAAAGCGGCAGGGAGAGAGAGAGAGAGAGAGAGAGAGAGAGGGAGAGAGAGAGAGAGAGATTATTTAGGTATAGAATAGGATCGGCGTGGAACAAATTCACATTTGCAAGAATACCTAAATGCGAATGCCAGAAATGCGTGCCTGCCTCCGTAGCCAGATAGTCGTATCGAAAACTCGATCCTGGCGGAATTGGACATTGAGACACGTACGGAACTCCGTCCATGTACGGTGTTTTCACGTGATGTTGACCGTGCCAGTGCATCGTGGTACTCTCGGAATGCAGTAAATTGATTACATCGACTATTATTCTATCGCCTTTGCACACCTATGGACAAACAGATGCAATTTCGACACATCTGCAAACCCCAAGTGCTAGCATATGGGAGAGTCGAGCTCCGAGTACCATTAATCCTACGTCCGCGTTCGTGCCAAGATGCTTCACCTCTTGGCAATACATACCGACAGTATCGGTATCGAGCTCGCGGAATAACCGATCGGCGATCGCCGTCGAGTTTGCCCGATTTTAGGAGAGATTTCAGTTTTCATAGAACTATTTTCATTTCAACAGCAAACAGTTACAAGATCTTGCTTCGAACTCGTTGCTTCTCGCGTATTTATTACAAAGATTCGTACACACCTCGATACGCGGTCCTGGCATTTGTCGATTGACCACCAAAATTGATCTTCCGACGCCGTCGGCCGGAACGCAGTGCATCCGAAAACAATCGGTAACGTTAAATGGACAATCGTAGCACGCTTTGCTCATCGTGTGATAAGCCTCTAGCTTGAAAATATAGTGACATTCCATCGGCGGAGCTCCGTCTTCGCAATTTCGTCGACAAGGATGTTCCCTCGAATCCAATTCATCTGCCGCAACCGGAGTGACACGGTCGAGTTTGAAATCGTCCGGTGTCGTAATCGTCATTTCTAAAATCAGCAACAATTCGCATGGAAAGGATTGCACGATTATTAAATATTATCGCATCCACTCACCGCATATACACACTCGGTGCAGTAGAATAGCAATTTGAATTGAAAGCTGCGCGATACTTTGCCTCGATCGATTCGACATCCTGTAATCTGCAAATCACCCAAGCCCAAGATTCAGCTACCTCGGAGCCCTAATAGCTTCGGATCGCGGATAATAAGAATTCAATGGACGTCGCTGGTTTCTTTGAATTGTCAATCGGTGAGAAAGACGCGACACGGCTGTGGTTGCTGCTACCGCGATGAAAATTCTTCGCCGATGGAGGAAATTGTATGTACAGTAGAATACGAATATCGAATACTGTTAAGCGTAGCGTTGCCCAATAAGAGGAACAATGCGTGTCAATNGAGATTATTTAGGTATAGAATAGGATCGGCGTGGAACAAATTCACATTTGCAAGAATACCTAAATGCGAATGCCAGAAATGCGTGCCTGCCTCCGTAGCCAGATAGTCGTATCGAAAACTCGATCCTGGCGGAATTGGACATTGAGACACGTACGGAACTCCGTCCATGTACGGTGTTTTCACGTGATGTTGACCGTGCCAGTGCATCGTGGTACTCTCGGAATGCAGTAAATTGATTACATCGACTATTATTCTATCGCCTTTGCACACCTATGGACAAACAGATGCAATTTCGACACATCTGCAAACCCCAAGTGCTAGCATATGGGAGAGTCGAGCTCCGAGTACCATTAATCCTACGTCCGCGTTCGTGCCAAGATGCTTCACCTCTTGGCAATACATACCGACAGTATCGGTATCGAGCTCGCGGAATAACCGATCGGCGATCGCCGTCGAGTTTGCCCGATTTTAGGAGAGATTTCAGTTTTCATAGAACTATTTTCATTTCAACAGCAAACAGTTACAAGATCTTGCTTCGAACTCGTTGCTTCTCGCGTATTTATTACAAAGATTCGTACACACCTCGATACGCGGTCCTGGCATTTGTCGATTGACCACCAAAATTGATCTTCCGACGCCGTCGGCCGGAACGCAGTGCATCCGAAAACAATCGGTAACGTTAAATGGACAATCGTAGCACGCTTTGCTCATCGTGTGATAAGCCTCTAGCTTGAAAATATAGTGACATTCCATCGGCGGAGCTCCGTCTTCGCAATTTCGTCGACAAGGATGTTCCCTCGAATCCAATTCATCTGCCGCAACCGGAGTGACACGGTCGAGTTTGAAATCGTCCGGTGTCGTAATCGTCATTTCTAAAATCAGCAACAATTCGCATGGAAAGGATTGCACGATTATTAAATATTATCGCATCCACTCACCGCATATACACACTCGGTGCAGTAGAATAGCAATTTGAATTGAAAGCTGCGCGATACTTTGCCTCGATCGATTCGACATCCTGTAATCTGCAAATCACCCAAGCCCAAGATTCAGCTACCTCGGAGCCCTAATAGCTTCGGATCGCGGATAATAAGAATTCAATGGACGTCGCTGGTTTCTTTGAATTGTCAATCGGTGAGAAAGACGCGACACGGCTGTGGTTGCTGCTACCGCGATGAAAATTCTTCGCCGATGGAGGAAATTGTATGTACAGTAGAATACGAATATCGAATACTGTTAAGCGTAGCGTTGCCCAATAAGAGGAACAATGCGTGTCAATAAGTGGGAAACAGAAGCGCTTATCTAATCTGGATGTCGCGAAAAAAAGAACGTTTAGCAAATGAGCATATAAGATCTGAACGTATTTCGCGTTTCGCGTTTCGCGTTTCGTGTTTCGTGTTTCACATTTCAAGGTACACCCGAAATTTTCTTTGTACATCTACGAGTATCCGATCCGTTTTTCTCACGGCCGCGAAATTTCTGCTCGCGCGAACAATCAAATTGTTCGAGAGAGCTCGCGCTTCTGTCTACTCGCACGTAGGTCCATACACGTGTACGTGTAACGTGTGAATTACAGATTAAAGATTAGACTAGACGTTGGAGATACACAGGAAAGTCTTTTTGTTTTTAAATGTTGTTTCTTTTTCGTATTTGATTCTCATCGTTGCATGCTGCACCGTTTTACGATGAGACGGTAGAGAATCTGGTTTCATTGTCATTAACTAAATATCGCCTTCGTCTTCTTGTTCCTATTTTCATATCCTAGTTTCTATAAGCAAAACGAAAAGACTTTCAGAAATGACGGGGTACTCCGAATAATCACGAGGAGGGAAACTACCACCACAAAACTGTAAACTTTAGACTTTTGATTTTAGACAGAATTAAACGGTTTCAACAGCGTCGTAGTCCTAGGTCTCGGTGACGAATCATTTCTTCCAAAAGCAAAAATTTCGTCACGGCGAAGCGATACACGTTGCGCGATTCTACTATTCTATCATTTCTTATTAACGTAGAACTTTGAATATTTACTAGTTTTCAAAGACACCACAGATAATCCAACGATCGAACAGAATGAAACTCTGAATCAAAGCGAAGCGGCTGAGTACGTATAATCCTTTGGGATTTCTTTGTCGTTGTCGTTAACGTTGCAGATGTCGTACTTTCTTTGCCGAGTTAAACGTTACGATGTTCGCCGCTCGATCTTTCGTTTTCTCGTATTAGCGCGCGGCTATGAAAAATCAACGGTGTTTTAAGAAAGACTGAATCGATGCAGCGCCATCCGTTTCTCTATACAGGAATTCCCTGGAGGTCACGCGTGCCCCACGAATCGCCACCGGTCCTCTTACTTTACCCGATTATCGTACATGTACAAACAATCGCGTACAGGTAACGTCACTCGTTCATCATCGTATCAAGGGAATCCCCATAGCCGTATTCGAACAGTGTTCGTTGTTTCTTGTCTCTCGATTAGTAATTGCCTTATTATTATTATCAATTCAATGATTATGTTACGCATGTTACGCGTTACGTATCCTTTGCAATAAGCGTATTTCAAACGCATCATTTTCTCTGTTCGCATCGTTTTCCGTTTAGATCTGTACACATAATAAATCATTTCAGTAGCTATTTCTCTTCGAATTTTCTCATGTATCGATCGTTGGCGTCGCCGCAACGATACCGATAAATTACTCCGTTTTACATTCTACGATTATACAAATATACTAAATAGAAATAGAAATACAAATACTAATATGTATAATAGTCGAGTACGCGTGTGTACCTGTACACGTACGTCTCTATCTAAATAGCAACAGTCAAGATTCTGAGAAAGATTTTTCAACGGGAATGGATCGCGTCACGGTTTTTCCGGTACCATTACACGTGACTCGATCGTTATACTGGTTTCTCAATTTCCGCAATGCATAATTAATAATTTAACGTCGCGATCGAAAGATACGATTTACAAGATAAATTAAAATCTCGATGTACAACTTTGCTAGAAAACCTTATTGTCAGACATTTTCATTCAACACTCTCAAATTATATGCTTCGTGTATAACTGTAACTGTAACTGTAACTGTTACCGTGTTACCGTGTTACCGTGTTACCGTGTTACTGTAACCAAAGGTGTCGCGTATCTTTCGTACTGGTTTCAGTAATTATGTTGCTCGCGGAACAGGTACGAAGGAAGGTCAACGAGAATACAGTAAAAGCATATTGGCTAAACTAGTCATTTATCGTAATTATGTTATCTGACAATCGGTGCACACGATCGAATCATGCAACATCTGCAAGCAGTACGACTTGTATAACACAAAAATCTGGGACATGGGGCATGTCGAAACGGCTTATCTTAGAACCGAGAAAATTACTATCACCGACGGCAGCTCGGATCAGATAGGTCTAGCCATGGTTAAACAGAAGAAGAAGGAAAACTGAAGAAATGTAGCTTTGACTTTACGTAAGATCATTAACCTTTGCGTAATAACCGAGTTGACGAAGATGACAACGCATCGTTTGCCATCGTGCAAGTTGTACACAAGGACGCGTGAAAACGTTTCCCTTCTACCGACTACTGTATCAGCACACGCGCGTCAGTGCATATTGTATTATTTTTCCGTTCACGCCATAATACTATTACGTATGTATGTATTTGAACAGGTGCATATATGTGTATATATATATATATAATAAAATAAACTATTGTTTTTATTTGTTGCAGAGCATGCAACAGTTAATTAATAGTGACACTTTTTAATATGGATTAACAATAATTTATTTTATTGTAAACTCATCATGAATGTACGTGTGCCAATATAAATTCATAAACTTGACACGTACTTACGCATACACGTTCAACCGCGTATTTTTCCGGTGACATCAACATGGTTTCGGTTGTCATGACTGCGTCGATTCGTAATCTCCGCGTTTCAAAGTCAGCTTACCTGCTTTCTGCCTACTGCTTATTTACTAAAGTTATAGTACCTTGCTTTCATTAGCTCCGCGCACTCGGAGGATCGCGAACATTGGATCCGCATTATTTTCGATCGGTGATTCTAATCTCCGGAACGAGAGATTCCGTGGTCGAGATGTTTCATGGTTGAGAAATTTAGTCGTTCGTTCAAATATTCGGTCCTTGTAATATTTGCTTGTTCAGATTATTCGGAAAACGGAAAGAAAACAGCGGCGATGGAAGGATACGCTTCGCACGCGAAATACGAATAATAAATATGAGAACCTCGTTTGCACGTATCCTGATACTTTATAAAATTTTAACTTGACGCGATCTATAACGTAATTTTTCAATAAATGAAATTGCTGTTAAATTTATATTTTCACTTTCATCGTTCGCATATGTGCGTCCAATGAATTTGTGGCTTCCAAATCATGAAGCTTGTCGCAATGCAAAGGAGATATGTATACAGAATACTCGATTCTTACTAACTGTAAGGAGATTAAATTTCTGAAATATCGGTAACGATGATCGCGACACGGAAATGGTAATAATGATGGTAACGGAGCTTCCGAAGCCCCATTTTTTCGTAGCAAAATAATACATAATAATACGTAGTCTGTGGCTCTATCATCTACATGCATCTACCCCATCTACTGTTACTATCTGCTCTATTATCTACGGACTAGGGGCAGGCATGGACATAACACTATCAAAGTGAAAACAAAAATTTCGAATTTGGATAGTGTTACGCATAAATAAAAATGACTGAATTGATACAAGGACGGTGTTTGTTGATGTGCCCAGAAAGGGAACGTTGTATGTAAGTTACAAGCGGTATTCCACAAGTAGCATTGTTATCAATGTTTACAGTTTCCAAATTTAACCGATACTCTATGAATGTTATGAATATAAAGATTTTATTAATTTGTCATTTAAAAGGAGAGAGAGAAAAGGTTTGCTGCACAGATTCGAAATTGATGAGAATACGAAAACCTCTCGGCAACCAAAAGCTGATCCTATGAAAACTGTGAAATGTTTTGGTCGTCCAGCGGCCGGGTTGGTTATGACAGATCCAAGTCAATTACGTCCGGCAGCTGTATTACTGTCAACCATTAGATATTTGTTTACCAAGTACGATCAACTTTGAAATATTCATTTCTATTCTCCATTATATTATCGGTTCCCTTTTTGTCTTTCTTTTCCTTTTATAGAGTTACACGTGTTTCAGAGTAGCTACACGAACAGATGTCGATTGGATAGCGATATATGACTTTCTGTTCGATCGTCTAAGAGCAGTCAGACAAGATGTTGCCATTCAAAGAATAGACGTTGCCTCGAGTATTTCAATCTTCGAACCTATCGTTCGATTTCTGATCTATTCTACGCAAAGGTATAATCATATTTGTTGTCTGTCCTTGGTATCGAATTGCCGACTTGTTTAGAAAACAATTGCAGGCTGTGCGATCGAAATATCTCTGAATTTGATACAACCATTAATAATAGACACCTTTTCGAATGTATATCGCACCTACTAATTCTATACGACCAATGGGATCAAAAAGTTCGTACATCGGATATCTCCGATATCTCTATGGAGCAACTAAAACTAGATAATAATCGCGAGCAAATGGAAGCAGCATATATACTTTTAAATATGGGTAATGTCGAAGCTTTAACAAGAGCACTGACGCTTCCTCTTTGTCTCAGGTACGATAAAAATACGCTCGACACGTTTCTAAATAGATGACAAGCTTCGTTACTTTATTCGCTTCTTTACAGAAAATCCGCAAATGTTCAATTATCGATGAAGATATCATTTGCCTGGTATTTAAAAAATTACGTACGCTTATGCAGCTTAATTGCACGACTTCCCCCATTATTGATGTGCACAGCTATGATCAATATGACGAACATCAGAAGGTGCATTATATGTACCATAAACTATTATCAGTCATATATTTAATCTCTTTCGCATCTGGGGTACTTGTTCAATAATCTAAAAACAATTTTTGCTTTTAGAACAACATTGAAAATCATGAGTTCAGGATATAATAGTAAAGTACTCACGTTCCCAGGATTAAAATTACAACAACTTTTATTGTACAGAGACATAGAGACAGTTCTAGCAGATTGCGAATTGCATGGTCAAACGTCTGTCGACCAGAATATACTGTTTCAAAAAGCTACATTCAGAGAAGCCGCAGGATCGGTAGGTGAAAATATTTATTTCCACAATAGAAAATTACCAAGGAATTTCTATTTTTTGTAGTTCTTACTGTCGAGGCTTTCTATAATCAGCCTTCAACAGTAAGAATTATACGATGTGTGGCCGTGAAAGTCTCAAATCTTTGAAATCTATTTTCTATTTTAGAAGAATTCAGCGATATATTATACTCGGCAAATTATACATGATTTTCTACCGTCTATTCTCCTGGAGTCTGTGTAAAGAGTTGTAAAGAATCATAAAGAATTGCAAATAATCGTATCGCAGGAAAATTATGTGTGTGAACAACACCAAGAGTATACGAACGTTCATAAATTAAACATTTCAAATGTAGCGGTAACGTGTAGTCAGTAAAAAAATTTATTCCTACGATAACATACAATGTTTAGTTTACTGCGAGTCACTCGACGAACTGCTCGAAGAATCTGTCGACATAACTTCAACATCTTCGGTTTCTTGTTTGTGAGTATTCATTGCTACGCTACCTTGTCCGCTAACCGACAAATGGATTTCACCGGACGGATGCCAAGCGAATTGATTAGCCTGCGACACCGGTGGTTCTGAAATAACAAATCAGGCGCGATCGATTCTATCGTATTTTACATGTGACGATAATATTTAATCGCTTCCTCCTCTTCAAATTCAAATTGATCTTGTTGCACGCACCTCCTACAGGATGCCCAGTTCTATGCAAATCCGATGATATTCCAGGATGTGAACCCAGCATTTGACCGTTTAGAGGAAGATCGCTCAATCGTCCGAGATATCCTAATCTCATTTCAATATCTGCAACAAGCACGCTCACTCAGGGTTGTTCGACGCTTGAGCAAAAGTGCAGGAAACGGAAATGCAAGTTTAAGAAATTATTACCTGTCGGGTACGGTCTTCTAGGATCCCCTTGTTGCCACGTTAATGGAGCACAAATGGCATTCGATGCGCTTATTCTATGCGCATACTTGATCAGTTCCTCCGAAGGAACAGGTCGTTTATTGGCACGAGCGATCGATTGTAATTTCTGTTTGGCTTGATAAATGGCTGTAGCTAAAATTTGTTCAGCTTCTTTCAATTGCCGCTGTAGTTGTCGAATATCTTGATCTTGTCTTTCAACTTCTGCTCTAAGAGCATCCATCTTCAGATTAATTTTTGCTTGTTCATCTGCACGATTCAGAGTTGCTTTCAATTCATTGTCCTTAGCTATCAACAATTCGGTTAACTGTGCATGCTCTTCGCTCGACAGTTTCAAAGGCTTTTGAGCTATTGTATTTTCAATCATTTCTCTAAAACATTACAACATTATAATACATTAAACTACAGTATAGATACGTTCATTTAGCAGACTACTCGTTTGTCTCATCACATTTTTCTAGGTCAGACTCTACTTAACCAGTAAGTATACTGTTGACATAAAGTTTTTGTTTACCAAATTAGACGTCACTTTCTTTTCTTTCATCTTTTTTTCTAACAAAAATCTCTACCGTGAATCCGACGTATTATTTTCTGAGAAAGAGTTATGTCTGAGTAGAATTTTCTTTTTCTTACTTTGCTATCAGTTCGATGTCGTCTATAAGTGACAACAAAACCTCCCTCGTACTCTTACCGGATGCCATTTCTTTGACAATAAATAGAAAAAATTGACTTATTCAAGCTGTCAAGAATGCGAATTCGTAAACAATATCGTGTGAATATCAATATCATATACAATAATTCGTTTACAAATAATCCAGGAACACAACCTTTAACATATTTAATGGATAATCAAACCATATTGATAGAAAATACAAATTAATTATAGCACACTATAATAACACACTACATATATGTATGTATAATACTTTTCATTGAAACAACATCAACAACATATATTGTACGAGTGTACGACCTGTATTTTTTTTGCTCTGATTTACTGACGATTCACTACTGAGACAGGATCCATTACGGATTGAATGCGCAATAAAATGGTGGGGATGTGCGCGCTAGCTTAGAGAGTAAGAAAAGCGTACAGGAGTAGGTTATATTACTGTACAATTAGTTAACCAAACTTCAAAGAGCAATTAATTACATTTTGCGATGTTGTCATTTGTTTTTGCGTACGATATCGACACTGTAGATTCTCCTGAACAATTCTTTACTATTGGTTTAATTTAATAAACGCGAGCTTCGAACAGCAAAGACTCAGCGAAAGACCAAAGGCATACAATGTAAGCAGATTGAGAATCAAGCATTATTGATAATTTTATCTTTTATATTTTTAATACGGATAATATTTGTAATGCGAATAAATTGTAGAGAGATTATCTTGATGAAAATGAGTCCAAACACGACATCATTTTAACTACCTTCAATGATATTACAATATTTTTCATAACATTATGTATCAGTAAAAAGAGCAATTGTTTAAGCCAGGGCTCGGAATTAATTGTACATGACAGAAACGGAGCATTTTCGGAGATTGCTCTTAAATAAGATGCAAGAGAGATCTTACAAAAGGGATCTACGAAAATGCTCTGACTCTGTCATGTGCAGTATTTATGCGAATTAAAGTTTGTTCTCCATTTTGGCAACTATGAACGGCACGGGCTCCTCGGTCCATATATATTTATTTATCAAATTTATTGTTTATTGATAAAATTGTCGCTCGTGGGAGATTGAGCAGTTAGAGTTACATGGAAAAGCACGTTTTATGCATTATTTCAGAAATTTTGTGTGAAATTGAAGGTCTCCAACCTTTCATAAAAGTCCCTAGGCGTCTTTAAAGAGTTTTTTTTTTATATTTCTCGAAAAGAATAAGCGAGCAATTAAAAGTAAACGGTGAGCAATTATGGGCAATTAAAGAGCAATTTTTTGAGCTATGTTTCATTAATATTGGTTATTATGGTGAGCCAGCTTCAGACAGGCCTGAACTTGAACCTGAAGAAAGACCAGAAAGACTGAGACTGGAAGAGAAATTGTTCGAAGTTCGACTCCTCAACAGTGAATATCGTTATTTTCTTGTAGATAAAATTACAATTTAATCCACAATTATGTCATATCTAAATCAACCCGATTACGTGCGTTACGTTTGTAATTGTGGATCTTTGAAACCAATATCACAAACTTATTTTTGTAGACACTGTTCGAAAATACGATGCGGCTACTGTAACTGTCAAGAAGTAATTATTCGATATTTATTATTTAACGTTTGCTCTTGTCATTCGTCTCTTTATACGTGTAACCTTTTTTACAGATTGACACACATTATTGTCCTAATTGCATGGAAAATTATCCATTTGTGGAAGCACGACTCAAGAAGAATAAGTAAGTGAAAGTTGCCCAAAAATATGTATTGCTCGAAACAAGATTTTTTTTATTGAATTTTACGTTGATTTAAATGTTATGTTAACAGATGTTCAAATTGTTTTGAATGTCCTTGTTGCTTTCATACCTTGTCTACGAGAGCAGGGCACGTGCCCTTTAAGACAGTGCTTCCCAAAGGAGAAGAATCCAAAGATGCTAAAACGCCACCAAAGAAATTTTACTACCTATTTTGTTCATTGTGTAGATGGACTTCTAGGGATGCTGGTATTCCTGACCAAACTGTTGGTACGTACCTAAAATATTTCTTACACATAATTGTTAATTAAGTTAAATGCCCTTAAAAGAATATGTGTTTTATTTAGCTACCGGTGGTTGGCCTGAACAAGAAAATCCACATTTAGGACGAATTAATGCCTTAATTGATTATCATAAAATATTGGCTTCCATAGAGAAGCAAGAATGGGAGAAGAAGATTCGACCAAAGTGTCCTTTTATGCATGTAAACTACTTTCTTACAATTTTTATTTTGAACTCTTATTTTACTATCGAAAGTGTGCATTTGATTTATTTTGTTCGACTTCAGGCCTATTCTATAATATCGTTGGCTCGCAAACGGATTGTTTATCCTACACATACTCCAGGTAAAAACCAATCTAGCGATCAACCTCCACCATCTATTGCTAGCGAAAATGTGGAAGAACTGCCAGCAAACATATTTACAGACCCAGTGGATATAACTAAAAGTAAGCGGTCATTTAGAATGAGATTACATTATTGTGAAATTTTGTACACCTTTTGAAAATAATCCTCTTAAATAGTTACTACATTGGAACAAAGGTTACAACATTTGGAGGTTCAAGCGGAAAACGTGAATGAATTACGCCCGCAGCGCCGAAAATATTTAGTTAAGAGATCACAACGTTGCAGAGCATGCGAGCACAGTGTTAATAAACCAGATCTCTGCCCACAGTCCACCAAATTCAAGATTCAGCTTGCTGCATAGTGAGTACGCAATATTTTGTACATTTTTTTGCCTATAATTAATTCATACATCCGCGCCATAGTTATCATGTACCAGAGGTGAGAATTGTTACTTGTGAACCATTGAGACCAGGTAAAACGAGCGAACTGCTTTTGAAATTTTGTAATCCAACTCAACATCAAACTCAAATAACACTGCTACCATTGGCTACACCAATGACTCCTGTTGAAGTTACATCCGAGAAAGAAGATGTAAAAGAAGAAAACGTGCAACAGGTAAACGTGTTCGATTTATTTGATTAAGGAGTAGGTTGTTCTATACCAAGCAACACAAGGATAGAGTTAGAAATCTAGCTTATACCTTGAAAAATTGTTTCAACTATTCTAATAGGATTCAGAGTCCTCAAATTTATTGCCATCCATCGTACGGCAAATGGCTATTGCGGAAGAAACTAAACCCATAAAAGTTATTCCAAACGCGGACGTACTTTTGCCTCAGGCTTCTCTGATACTTCCACCTAGAGATGACGCCGCTGAATATGATGATACAGGCGACACTCATAACTTTCAAGATGATCCTAAGTATGTATTTCTATATTCGAATTTCTGCGACTAGTATTTTCAAAGACTTTTTAATTTCGAATCCTCTACAAAGGCTTGTAGTTTGGCGAAAAGGTAATAAGACGGTAATAAAAATCCATGTAACTCCATACAAGAGTTTGGAGGAACACGAAGAAAATGAACCAATCATTATTGGGTTTGTTATGCAGTACGAACACGTCAACACAATTACAACGCTAGAAAATAAAGCGCCTAAGAAGCTGGATCTAAAGGTGAAATTGTATCTCACTGTGGGAAACATTGTCGGCAATGCTTAATGCAAGTTCGATTTTTAGTAGAAACTATTTCAGCATGAATTATGATAGCTTTCATATTATGTAATTCGCGGATAAAAAATAATGAACTGATTTAAATTAATTTTCCTTAAATTTCCTTTAAAATATTTGTATCTTTCCTTAGCAATAAGAAATGTTTAGTTTAGAGCAAACCCTAACTGTGTTATCTATATGTTACACACGTCAGGGGAATACAAAAATATAATGCAATGATATATTTTTAAATATTTATTTTTGAAAGATAATAAACCACGTATAGACCCATAATTTACAGCCTGCGTCCACGACGACCACCCTTTCTGCGCGTTGAATCGGATGGTATAGGGGTAACATCCTCGATACGGCCAATTTTCATACTAGAACGAGCAAGAGCGCGTAAAGCCGATTGTGCACCAGGACCAGGTGTCTTTGTCTTATTTCCTCCAGTAGCTCTTAGTTTAATATGGAGTGCCGTAATTCCAAGGGATTTGCATTTCTCTGCTACATCCTATCAACAATTAATGCAAATATTATAAAAGTTTGCACATCATCGTTATAATATACGTTTCATAGATTTATTTGTAATGTATGCTCCCAGGTAAAGAAATGCGATACATATATAAATCTCATTTCCATCGGAAGGGAGAAGCTTAGTATTCCACAAACATGAACGCACTTAGGGTCAGGAAATGAACACTTAGGTGCTGCCTGGACGTGGCTAGATCAACGAGTAGAGTTTTACAAATAAAAAGCAATTTACCTGAGCAGCAAGCATAGCAGCATACGGAGAAGCTTCATCACGATCTGCTTTAACTTTCATTCCACCGGTAACTCTGGCAATAGTTTCTCTGCGAACAGTATATCGGTAGATTTATTTGTATGTGCATAGTATTAACTGTTCATGCGAAATAGTATTTCGAAATGTACCTGCCCGAAAGATCGGTTACGTGGACGAAGGTGTCGTTGAAACTTGCAAAAATATGTGCAACACCGAAGACAACTTCTCCTTCGCGAAGTTGAGGTCCAAGAGAGACTTGGACTTCTTCCTTTTGTACCTTTCCTCTTTTTGGTGGCATCTCTGTCGGAAATAATAATCAATGATTGGCTTGTGTGTACACTCTCGGAACGATTGCGTTTAACGTTTTAGTTGATTATTCCGTGCAATTGTGATCGCTGGATATAAACAGTGTGGGGTTACTTTCAGGTTATGTCTTAACATATAGCGTCCATAATGCACACGACTTTCGCGATATCAATTTTATCCAATTACATCTTGATATTAAACATTAACGCGATCGATATTTTAATAGATACGTGTGTAAATGCATCCCCTCTGTTTATTCGAGCCATTATTTTTTGCATAACATTAAGTTTTCTGGTAGAATACCTGTAAATTGTATTTACCGAGCACTACCCGACACAACACGAACAGAGAAGGAAGTCTTAAAGGGAAGGGAGACATGTATCTTCCGGCGTGCGATTGTACAATTCCTAAAATCGATTTCAAAGAGTAATATCGACAACATGTTTCGATAGCCGTATCGATAGTCGGAATTTTACGCATGAACAATGAACACTACTATCGATAGTAATATAACACTAATATCGATAGTCGTAGACAAGAACGAAGAAACGTCGGAATGCGCGCGGCAGAATTTAAATCGTAATAGAGTAAAAAAACGATATAATAAAAAGTCGTATAGATTTTTTCATGAATTGAATATTAAGTACTTGAAATATGATTTTTATTATGTCACACATATAACAAAATGTTTTTGAACGTTTCAGGTAAATATTCTATGAACGTATATATGTACAACATATATTATTGATTCATAACGAGTTTGAACATATTTCCGCGAGATGTCGTTAACGCATCCAAAATCGGACACAGACAGAATTGCTCATGCGCAATTGGATAGAGGGTTCCAAGGCTATATTCACGAGGGGACGAGTGACCTATGTAAGTATGTATATGTACATATGTAAATTAACCCTTTCGTTACGATAGACTCCGATTCGTCAGCATGCATTTCGCAAATTTGTCTGGTCGAAATACTGAAACGTATCGCGTACGTTCGTTGTTAGGATTTCTGACAAGATTTGCCGGTCGCATGCCATAGACGGCAAAAGTTTGTTGAAGTTTGCTGAGAGCGCTGCTAGAAGCAATCAGAAGCAGCGCCTATAAAACTACATAAATATACATATACAGATATAATTGCAATAGACGGCAACGGTAGTGAAAGAGTTACGAAGAGATCGAAGTTTCTGGTTTCTGGTCTACAATGCTTGGACTCAATGGCGTATGTAAGCTTTAGGCTAGGACTGGGACGAAGATAGCGACGGTGGGGGATTGTCGGGACTGGTCGGCGTTTCGGTCGCCACCTAGCGGACAGTTGGCAGTCGTAGCAGCGAAGCGCAGGCGGAGGTTCGCTCGCCATATTTGTTGTTGTCGCCGATGGGGTAGGCTAGCAGGAGTTTTCGGGCTGTTAGTGCAGTGGTAGTGTGTAATCTCGACGTAAGTTAGTCGAATCGTTCGCGTGCCCGCTTCGGGCTGGACCTTCGTGGAAGATATTGCGGACACAGTGCGAAATGTCTCTTACATAAAACTGGTGGGGCTCTGGTGGCTCAGCTGTCCTACTCTGTTGTCGAGTGCGCGATTCTATGTGTGTAGCATGCGCGTATACATATAATCTGTGTTTGTGTACTACTCCCCATTCTGTTCTTGGTTCGGTACTGTTCGTTCGGTGCTGCTGCTCACAGCAGTAGTAGTAGTAGTAGTAGTAATAGTAGTAGTAGTGTAGTAGTGTAGTAGGTAGTAGGTAGTAGTAGTAGTAGGTGGTAGGTGAAGGAAAAGGAGAGGAGGGGTGTGAAGTGCACCAGTGACGGAACGGTAAACTCGTTAGAGAGGGTGAGGTAAGCAGGAAAACTGTACTGAATTATACGCTCGTATCCGTGAATGCTTTGTATACTACATATATGTATATGTGCCTATATACGTATCCATGTAGGTATTACATGTATGTATACGTATATATATATATATATATATATCTGTCTATCCTTCGCTAGCGCCTGTATTATGCGCGTGTACGTATACGTTGCACGTACGCGTGGAAGAAAGGTGTGAAAGGTGGCACAGCGAGACCGAGACCCAAGAGGTGGTGTGGATGTAAGAAACGGAGAGGGGTTGCTATCCCCTTGGCGGGGTCGGGGTCGGGGTCGGGGTCGGGGTCGTCGCACGTTCTTGACGTGGGTCTGTCGACCCGCCAAGGTCCCTATGCCTGCGTCCCTCACCCCTCTGCGATCTACATCTTCTCTCTTTCGAATTTTCCCTTGTCCTGGCATGGCTCGCGTCGAAGCAGAGCCTAACCTAACCTAATTACACGTTGCCGTCCGTTTGACATTCGATGTTCCCATCGGCCAGCACTCCTACGGCCGAACTTCTCGGTCTCGTTCTACGACATAAATAGATGATCGGCTCGTCGATTTACCTTCCGTCGATTTCTCCTGACGCGCGAACTTGGACGAAACATGAAAACAGATCCTTCTCTCGCGAGGGGAAAATCAATACGCTATTCAAACATTGTAGCGACGCGAATCAGCTGTTTCTGTATCATCCAGCGTTCCGATGATTTCCAACTGTTCTCGCTGGCAAGGAATTCGTTCCATATTCGCACACGTTCCGTGAGATGTTTTTATTTTTAAATACGATTTCGAATTTCGTATCGAGGAACGGTACGTACACGTTAGTGGACAAATATCGTCGTGTTTTATTGTACGGTGGCGGTTGGCTGTTCGGTGTTGTGCCTGCACGGATATCGATAACTCGAAAGACTGGCTTTATTCGTGTATATTGGTCTAGTTTTATTTATATTATCGGTCGTCGCGCCGAGTGCTGTTACAATTTCTCCGGGAAAAGCAGGTACTCGAAAGAAAATTCGAAAGCGAGAGGCATGTGTATTAGAAATTGAACTCGGTGCGGTTGCACGCGTTGCGACGGGTTCAAAGTGACCCGAGACCCGGCTATTCGCCGGTTTAATAAAATAGAAGTTCGTTTCCGGTCAACTCGATCGGAACCCGTCCACTAGAGTTAAAAGCAGCGATTACCGGTGTAGTTGTCGCCGGCGACAGCGGTATAATAGGGGGTGGTAATATCGGACGCCGTGTCGGCGGCGGCAAAATGGTGGTCACGAGCGTTCCCCCGAATTTATCAATTAACGTTCGCTCCACCAATTCGTATCCCAATCAGAAATTTACGAAAATCCATCTCGGCGTATCGGCTGTTTTTCCACCCGTTTCTCCATCTTTTCCACGGCCACCATTCCGCGTTTTTAGCTTGTTGCCCATGGCCCCTGTTGCATGCGTGACCTACTCGGACTGTTTACAGTTGAAAAACCGCAACTAGATTAATTCGGTCGCGTGGGTGCAACAGCGTTCTTTCGATGTTGGAGCTAACGAGTGCTAAGAGCGACTAGATTATTAGCTTTATCATAAAATATATCGATACAAATAGATACACGTATCAGTTGCCTAAGCGGTTATTTTTGCAATCTCAATAATTATACGATAAATAAACTTGAATAGCTACGCTATAGAACATCGTGGATTCAACATACACAGGTATACATAAATAGTACGTAGATACGTACGTAGATACGATGGTTGCGATTCTACGTGGTATCATCTATCAGCTATGTAATTAATAAAATTCATAGTTATTCGACTGCCACTGTTTTTCGGTGAACGCTAGTGTTCCATAACAGGGTTAAAGAGACAATTAGATAGACCGGTAGAGTCTCCGATCGAGCAATTCTGGATCGGTGGTGGCCCGCGCGATTTCCTAGCCTAAGCAATCCTCGAGTCTCGACCCTCGACCTTCTCTCGGAGTGAAAAATCAGCCGGTCGGTTTCCAAGTGAAACGAACGAGTCGAATAAGAGCAGATTAAGAATCGGGACCAATAAGATAGGTGGAACGGTATCTCGAAAGGATTGCTGGTCGTCGTCGAGCAACGCGAATGTTCGCCGTCCAAGGGTAAATAATCGTTTCTGTTGTCCTGCAGGCGGTGGCGATCGGTACGGGGGAGAAGGGTGCCGGGTTATCAGGTCGCACCCGAACGGTGGCTCGGTTGGTAAGGGGCGGCGGCGGTGTCGTCGCTTCGTGATTGCGGTGGGGCCGTCGTCGGAGGGTAAACATTACTCTTGGGGGGCGCAGTGGCCCGCAGTGTCGCGCGTGTCGATTCCTACGATAATTAAAACTGGCGGGCAACCTGGCTCGGTCTCCCGTGGCGGTGGGTGGTAGCGGCGGAGGCAGGCGCGGCGGCAGCGGTGCAGCAGCAGCAGCATCGGCATCGGCATCTGGAGGTGGAGGCGGAGGCGGGAGAAGCGGGGGTGGTGGCGGTAACGCCGGAGGTGGCGGCACCGGTGGAGGCAGAGGTGGCGGTGGTAGCGGCGGCGGCAGCGGCGGCGGTGGTGGTAGTGGTAGCGGCGGCGGCGGCGGCGGATGGAATAGAGGCGGCAACAATTCTGGCGGCGGGGCCAGAGCCAGAGGGCCGGCCGATGCGTCCCCCGGACCCGGGACCGTCGAGGACGGTTCCGGTCAGCACGGCGTCATAATCGACTGGGAGGGGACCGATTGCACCGATCGTTACTCTTTCGAGGACTCCGATCGTTTCGAGGAGGATTCCCTCTGCAGCTGGAGCAGCGAGCCAGAGTCCCTCTGCAACAACTGGAGGGGATGGCGGAAATCCACCTCCGTGTTCACCATTGTCCCCGGCAAGAAGACCGCCGAAGGTGAGTTCCTTTTCTAGTACACCTGTTTCGTAGCGTCTACACCGTTCGCGTCGGTCTACTTTCGTCCGGTTTGGTCTGCTCCCTAGTTGTTTGGAGCTAGGAGGTTCCCTAAAGTCGCCGAACAGGGAACCTACCGGGGGCAATGTGCTCCATCGTGTACCCGTTGGACTGGTTAGGTCAACGGTCTATCCGAATCGAGAATCTACTTGTTCGAAGAATCAGGTCCAAACGTAGGGTCTGCACGATACCGATGGATCGACGATTCAACCCTTCGGGAACTAGCGATCGTTTCGAAATTCGTTAAATTGAAATCCGACTTTTAGGTATCGCGCATCGTAGCATTAAATATATCATATATGCGTAGAACCACGATTATTAACACGTAGATTCGTCGTTTATCGATACATTTAATCCGGCATTTTAATCGTGTCTCCTCGGTCGATTCCGACGATCTAGGTTCCACTGCGCAGCTTGCGTCCCAGATTACGGTAGTATCGATAACATCGTGCAACAACAAATAGAAAGAAATCTTGGGCGTTGCTCTCCAAAGGTTAATAAACGCGGTTGCCTAGGGCACATTAGTGGAATAATCGGTAGCTCGGTGCTCGGTGCTCGGTGCTCGGTGCTCGGTAGCTGGGAGATTCCTCGAACGGAGTCGAGAGGCTGATCGCGGAGAAGATTATCCATTATCTCGGGCAAGTAAGAGGTATACGCATTGTGTCGATGGCGCTGCAGCATTGTAATTCTCGTGTCTCTATTTAAGCGTCGGTCGAGACACCCGCGGCCAGTGTGTGACGCATACAAATTCCATGACCCGTTGTCTCGAACAGGCAAGGTTAACGATTTCCACGTCTACCCGATGCATCGCCGCGTTCTCCTGCCGGCCGACTCGCTTCTACCCGTTCTTATTCGTCCCTTCGCCTACCAGCGTTATCTCGAGGTCACACTTTCCGTGTAACTGCTCGCGATCTTCCTGTTTTCTCATAACGATCCGCGTCATCATCCTCCGGTACATTCCGATCCCTCTTCCGGTTTCTCGTCGCCAATGAGCATTCGACGGATCATCCGTAGAGACTACCGGCTTTATTTGTGAATCGCAAGAACCGGTTGTCGGGGACAGTACATGCTTTCCTTCTTTTGTTCCAAACGATGTCGGTACATCGAAAGCGATGCAACGTTCCTCTAAAATTCTCTTAATATCGTTTTAATTCGACCTACTCATTTTTAATCATTCACTTGCCAAGCGAATAAGTTATTCGCTTTCCTTTATTCGTTAAGCGTCTCTCGTTCTCGGAATTCTCTCCAATTGTCCCTCGACTTGTAAACAAAAATGGACAATTTTTGGACAACTATAAAAACGAGCCGCGAGACTCGAACAGTCGTATCTTCTTTTCCCAAATTGCCCATTTTTATTTACGAGCTAAGGGTCGATTCGAGAGAATTTATCGTATCACTTTGTCGACCTACTCACTGTTCGATTCCAACGGGGAAAATCGTCGACCACGGCTCGGTCTGGACCAGACCGAGACTCTCGAATCGGGACTCGCGATTCGCAGCGATACGAGAGCACGGATAGCCGGCTCGAAGTCGTTCCCTACTTCCATATAGAGTCGCACAGAGATAAACAGGCACCCACACGGACGCGATGGAGCCGCGTGCACTCCGGTCGTTCCGGGCGGTCCTGTGTGCACGAGCACGAACACGAGAAGCGCGCGCGCTAGAGAGAGGGAGAGAGAGATTTCACTCGCTTCTTCTCCCGGCCGTGGATCCTTTCCTTTTTCTCCTCGGTCCTTGCTCCATGCCGGAGCGATCAAGGCCGAGAAAAAGAGCAAACCGAGACGACCACGAGAACCGAAGGGTGGAAACGTATCGTACTCGCTCTGGTTTGCGCTCGTGCACCCGCACCCGCACCCGCACCCGCACCCGCACCCGCTCACGCACCCGCGCTTGTGCGAGCACGTAAACAGCCGCTCTCGCTCCTCCTTCCGAGATTTCGAGCGTCGCAACCGGCCGTCGGATTTTATCGACGCGAATAATTTATCGGGAAGCCGCCGTTAATTTACGCGAATTAAACGGTTTACGATCGTCTCGACGGTTTTTACGATGCCCTGCTGACTGCGAATCGCGGCGAGATCTCGACCAAGGTACACCGACTTCCAAAAACATCGACGAAACTCCCTTTCGCCGCAAACAATGCTTACCGGCGTAGGTAAGTTACCGTCGACCAATGGGCGAGAATAGTTTTCCAAGTTACATTCGTAAAATGTTACAATCGATTCTCGAGTAGAATTTTCAGTGATCGTGGTGGCGTGAAACTATTAGATCGTAAAGGTACATTTTCGAGTTATTCGTTCGATAAATTTGTTATTCGTGTTAAAAACGGTATGATAAAAACCGCTAAAAATTCGCATAGATGCTTTACCATTATCGTCGCGAACCAATATAAAATAGTTGCTTTTAATATTTAACAAAATAAACTGCGTCAAATATGGAGGGAACTGGGACGACCCGACATTGTTGGCAGACCGGTGGATTCGTAGGACAACGATGACCAGCGCAGGGCTCCTGGATATACATATATATGTACATATACATATTATAGGTGATAATAACCATGTGTTCGGAACACGGCAGCTGTTAAATAACGTCGGATCGAAAAGGTTAATACACTCGGATATTTCGGGACGATGGCGGTCGTAACGGACGTGCCATAAAACGGCGCGGTTATTTTCAGCCATTCAACGAGGCCATTTATGACGGCGAGGGAACCGCGATCGTCGTGTGCTTCAATTTCCCATAGACGAGTGTCGTACTTCGCACCGGAATAGAGAGAGAGAGAGAGAGAGAGAGAGAGAGAGAGAGAGAGAGAGAGAGAGGAGAGAGGAAGAGAGAATACTTTCGCTGCGTGCAAACCAAGATGTAAACAAATTCCAATCGAAATCCATCGCGACGACATACAATTCTAACAATAACGGATAAGGGTTGCATTTCGCCCGGATATTCCGCGTCTCCAACCGTGCACCCTGGTTGGTACTGTCGCGTATCGCGAACTCCAGCGTTCCATATTCCACCTCTATTTGCCTCCAAAAACTTGCAACGCAGCCTATCGCAATTACGAACCGACCTGTCAATCTATACAGTTTACAATCGCTGGTTACCAAGTTGTATCAGTTTGAAATCGCAGGACTAGGACGAGTTACACAGAAGCTAACGGTGCGGACGCGGCAGGAACGTGTACCGACTCCAGCGAGGAAGCATTTTCCCCGGGTTTCCTTTGCCAAACATCGTGATCTCGCACCGGATGTCGCTCCGTCGCCGTCGTCGTCGTCGTTGTCGTCGTCGTCGTCGTCGTCGTCGACGTACGCGTTAATGAAACCGGAACGACGCGTCGCCATGACGAATCGCTGGCTGGAACTCGACCCGGGAACGACCATGAGCGTCTTCTTTTTGCAAGAAACGCGACAGTCGGTCCCTATTACGAGACACGCGGTAATTGGAAACGGTCCGCGGTCGTTTCCGCAACCGGAGATCCTCGTGCAATCGATCCGGGGATGGAATCGATTAGAAATTCGTTGTGTCTTTAGTCGTCTCAACGTTTTCCTCGTAGAAAAAGCCTTGCGAATCTCGCAAATCTCGCAAATCTCGCAAGCTGTTCTGTCCAATTGTTGCAGGATCGTATCCGTCTCCATGGTCCATCGGAAAGTTTACGTCAGGTTCCTGGTCTAATAAGGCCGATCTTTCAAAGGAGATTCGAACGCCTCTCGTCTCGATTCATCGTTTTCTTCGCAATCGTCGACCCTCCACCGGGTCCTCCTCGAGATCTTTCGAGAGCCTGCTGCTTTCCTCGATGCGTCCGGTCCGATGAATTCGGTGGTTCGCTGGAAAAGACAAGAGGAGAAGAGTGGCGAAGAGAGGCGAAGATAGGAGAGGAGAGACGGGTCGACGATTCACGGTATTGTTCGAGGACCGATCCCGATGTTCGTTAACGGGGTGTTCGATTCACCGCGAGAAGGATTCGCGATCGCAATCGCTACCGCTTGAAATATCGAGCCATAAATTCAATTAACCCGACGAGCTTGCACCGGGCTCGCTTCGCGGAGCCAGGCTTCGTAGCTTCGTTACGCTGGATCGGTGCANAGAGAGAATACTTTCGCTGCGTGCAAACCAAGATGTAAACAAATTCCAATCGAAATCCATCGCGACGACATACAATTCTAACAATAACGGATAAGGGTTGCATTTCGCCCGGATATTCCGCGTCTCCAACCGTGCACCCTGGTTGGTACTGTCGCGTATCGCGAACTCCAGCGTTCCATATTCCACCTCTATTTGCCTCCAAAAACTTGCAACGCAGCCTATCGCAATTACGAACCGACCTGTCAATCTATACAGTTTACAATCGCTGGTTACCAAGTTGTATCAGTTTGAAATCGCAGGACTAGGACGAGTTACACAGAAGCTAACGGTGCGGACGCGGCAGGAACGTGTACCGACTCCAGCGAGGAAGCATTTTCCCCGGGTTTCCTTTGCCAAACATCGTGATCTCGCACCGGATGTCGCTCCGTCGCCGTCGTCGTCGTCGTTGTCGTCGTCGTCGTCGTCGTCGTCGACGTACGCGTTAATGAAACCGGAACGACGCGTCGCCATGACGAATCGCTGGCTGGAACTCGACCCGGGAACGACCATGAGCGTCTTCTTTTTGCAAGAAACGCGACAGTCGGTCCCTATTACGAGACACGCGGTAATTGGAAACGGTCCGCGGTCGTTTCCGCAACCGGAGATCCTCGTGCAATCGATCCGGGGATGGAATCGATTAGAAATTCGTTGTGTCTTTAGTCGTCTCAACGTTTTCCTCGTAGAAAAAGCCTTGCGAATCTCGCAAATCTCGCAAATCTCGCAAGCTGTTCTGTCCAATTGTTGCAGGATCGTATCCGTCTCCATGGTCCATCGGAAAGTTTACGTCAGGTTCCTGGTCTAATAAGGCCGATCTTTCAAAGGAG